CTTTATTTTTTTTATCTAATGCCCCACAAAACTAATGAGATTCAACACATTCTTTCAATTCTTTAAAATTTTCTTTTAATAAAACAACTTTAAACCATAGAAATGCTAAAACAAAAAATCTGCTAAATGTAAAATTGAATCCATTTCTATTTGCAGCCTGTGGACTTTCTTGTCTGTCCTTGTGCTGTTATTATTAAAGATCAATCATTACTGATACTCTTTTTGTTAAAATCTTGTTGTAAAACTTAAATATTTAATCTTATTATAGTTTATATCAACCTATCAACCTAATTGATAGTTAATTACCAGGCAGACTAATCTGCCTAAAGCATTTATTTCTTTCTGTATAGTTATCCACACACAAACAACTGCTTTAACAGATATCTGGAATATTACCTTTATGTTTTTAGCCTTATCTTCATAAACATTGGTACGTAAAACATTTATATATAATAATGTTTTCTATTTCTGTATAGCTTCCCAATAGTAAAGGCTCTTTTTACCCTACATACAGTCTTATTAAATCAGAAGTAACTTAAATAGGTTAAAACATATCTCTCTTTACAGGGCAAGAATATTGTTTCCCAAATTTATTGCTAAACAAGAAGATATAAAATCCATCTATATTTAATCTCCACACGTTAAATCTTAGCATTATAACATGAAGACTAAAATGAACTTGTTTTTACAACAAATACAATCCATGTTTCTATTTTTAGTTTCAGAAATCTAAAACAAAGTTAAAAACCAACTGTTTAGGAATAAATCATGAGACGCCTGTAGGTCCTCCTTTTGCCTTTATCGGGTTCATCCATGTCTTCCAAGGATGCAGCTGATGCTTTCTTGGAACAAAAAAAAAAGGATTTTACTGTGGAAAAAAATTTACTTTTTATATTGACACTAAAGATTAATTGAGTCAACCAGAGATTTACAGCAAATTTCCAACCTTTGGTGACAAAGGCCAACTGATTTTTCCAAGGTCCAAATTCTCTTAAGTGCAGGTCTTCGGCAGGGAGTCTGCAACCCCTAGGGGTTCCACAGAGGTACTGCATTGGGGTTGCGAAATTTTTGGTTGATTAGACCCCCCTGCAATTTTTTCCATTAATTAAAATGTATTTAAATCCACATTAGGGCTGGGCGATATAGAAAAAAAGCTTATCGATAAAAAAAAATGCATATTGATCGATATCGATAATTATTGAAAAGATTTGAAACCATATTTTATGTGCAGCTCTGCCTGGACTTTTTATAATATTGCTAAATGATTTAATTTTAATAAAAAACACAAACACAGACTTCAAATTAAATCTTTATTTAACCAACTTTTTTAACCATAACAGAATTGTTTTAAAGAAAAATAACTTAAGAGACCTGAGTTATGTTATTAAATACTGACAAAGAACAAACTGAAGTGACCAGAAAAGTGACCAAAATAAATATAACAAATAAATAAATGCCCCCCCACCGCCGCCCCCGTTTCCTGCTTTAACCTGAGTTATTACTTTGAAGTTTCTGGCCCCTCAGCATTTTTATCTCAATTGTTAGAACTACGTGGAAACTGCCCAGAACTGAAAATATATATTTATTTTCCGAAGATTCCTCGGAGGAGAGCCGCACCGGGGCCTACACAGCTCTTACTCCTGCGGCTGTGAGCGGCTGAGATGATAAAAAAAAGTTGGTTTCGTTATCAGACTGGTTTTCACTGGTTCCCGACACATTTTCCAGATGACTGTGGTTTGTTTTTGGTCCGACTTGCCATGACCGAAATACTGCCAGACTGCCGAAGTACAAAAACCTTTCTTTTAAACAATTTCCTCCGCTTCTCCTTGCTGCACAGCTTCATGTGCTTTGTGTTGTGGTTTGAGAGGGCGGCGCTTGGTGACGGCATGCCTGGGTCCGCGATTGTGATTGGCTGGGAGGAAGCAGTGACTAGCATAAACCTACATGCTAGGCTACAATGAGAAGGAAGGAAAACTGCGTTTCTTTTTTATCGAACTTTTATCGACCCTCTTTTTTTCTATTGCGCCACACGTCTATCGATCGATATATATCGTTATTGAATTATCGCCCAGCCCTAATCCACATTAACATGAATTCACTGTAGTAAACAGATAAATGGAGGCAGAAGATGTGCCATCAGTTTGGGGGTCCTTGGCCTGGAAAACATTGAAGACCCCTGCTCTTTAGTATTTAGAAAAATTATAATAATAATTGAACTTTATTAATCTCTCATTGGAGAAATTGAACTCCTCTTTGGAAGCAGTGGGCTGCCATTGTGTGGTGCCCAGGGAGCAGTATTTTTTGGGTTAAGGGTCTTGCTCAAATTGGAAGCCCAGAGTACAAGCTGTGGGGATTGAACTGGGTACTTGCAACCTTCTCAGAGCACAAGTGCCCTTCTCTAACCACTAGGCCATCACTTCCCATCCCGTTAGTCAGCAAATACACCAAAAACCCTGAGTCACATTATGTGACAAACTGATTATCTAGTTAAATTCAAGCTTTCTTTAGCAACTTATATGGATGATTAGCACCTCTAGCTAACTCACAGCTAAAATAGCTGACTCTAACTTTAAGATTTCATAAAGTCTGCCATCATTTCAAGATCTGGAATGTTCTATAACAGGTTTAAAGCAGGAAAGAATAAATCAAGCAGCTGTGCTCTGCTGCATTCAGCCGTTATACCTGTTCATTTCGTTCACTCTTTCCGTTTGTAGACTCCATCATCAGTTGACCTGCCTGTTTAAAAAAAACTAAATATTTTCCTTTAAATGCCTTCTGGCATTACTGTCTCTGCTAAGTTTGTTCATATCCCTCATTAGTCCCGAGAAGAGCTTGTCTTGCCAAGTTTTCTTTCGTCAGTAAAAAAACTTTTTCATTAAAAAAATATCCCTCCTTGTCATCGTTTGCATGACTGATATGGAGGGAATTTTGTGCCATTATTGTTGCGAGCAAATCTGAATCGAATAATTAAACTTTTATAATCAAAGGTTTTGCTTTTTTTTCATAACATTTTTTCCAGTTCTATTTTCTTCACTTCTTTACAGATTTTATTTTAATTTTATTTTGAGATTTTATTATTATTATTATTATTATTACTAGAGATGCAGGATCCAGTTTTTTTTTTTTAACCAAACCAATCTGATAATGATATCTGGGATGAGAGTAACGGCTGATGTGACGCTGAACCATTGCATGAATGAACCATATATCTTGCCATGTGACTGAACGCTTTAGCCTTGACATAAATATAGTTTAAATAAGTTAATACATAACAAGGATATAAATGCAGTATTATCATTTATTAACAAATGAGGATCAAAAAGAAATAACATTTCCATGTCAAATGCACTAGATTGGATCTGCGATTTCTGATATAAAATCATCGATATCCGATCCAGTAAAATCATCGATATCCGATCCAGGAATCAGATCGGTGTATCTCTAATTATTTTTATTATGACATCTTAATCTCAGGAAAGAGTAAAGTTTGAAACCTTTTTTTTTTCTCGGAATGCAATATTTTCTAATCTTTGTGTTCTTTGCTTGCAATAATGATGGAACAAAACTCCCTCTATAGGTTCATTATGGAGTGCTGCATTGTGGAACAGTTTGTAGCACTGCTGCCTTGAAGCAGGAAGGTTCTCGGTTAAATTTCCGACCCGTGTCTTCCTACATGAAGTTTGCATGTTCTCCCCATGAATCTATCCAGGTTCTCCGGCTTCCTCCCACACTCCCAAAAGGTTAGGTTAGTTATGTTCTCCAAACTGTCCTTAGATGAGAGAGTGCATGGTTGTGTGTCTCTGTGTTGGCCTGCGACAGACTGGCCACCGCTCCAGGGTTTACCCCACCTCTCATGCAAAAACTGTCAGAGATAGGCACCGTGAAAATGGAATCATTGTCATGCATCACAGATTATGTATAAAGCTAGTAAACAATGACTACCACTCAATATCCAAAATCCTTTCAGCCATAAAGATGGAGGCTATCATTTACGTGAAATGTGGAATCCCTCAGTGAAAACAGTAGGAAGAGTTTTTGTGTGTCTGTATGTGGAGATAAACTGTGGAACAGCCTGGAGGACGAACATAAGGAGTCTCCCAATATACATATGCTCATTACTGTCAGCTTTCTTATTCATAATAATTAGATTATTGATAGTATTGGATTGATAATGAATATTAATGTAAACTGATGAATGGTGTTAGTATTGTTATTATTATTGGTGCTACAATTGATACTCTTATCACTATTATTTCTTGTCATGTGTGTTTTTGATAGGATTATATAATAATAATTATTTTTAGAGTAATTCTTTAGTTTTATGCAGCAAAGGGGTGGGATTAAATGAGAATGGTTTTCTTCCCACTCCTTTTGAACAAAGACTTGTTTTTTAATGGTATCTTTTTTTTTCTACATTTGTTTTTAATTATTGTCTTATCTTCAAATAGAACATTAAATAAAAAAAAAGACCTACTAGAAAAAATAGATTATATCTTTGTTTTCAGTCGAGCAACATTTGAGTCCAGGCACTCCTTAAAATGCCCTGATGACTGTCTGCATCACAAAAAAAAAAAAAAAAAATGCACCACAGTAATATTGTTTTAACCCAGGTGGGATTCCTGGGGTGTTTACATTATTAAGTGCAGAGTTTTAGTTTGATGAGTCCTTTGAGGCAGCAGCAGAGGTTGTTACTGAGCTAAAGTAGTGCGCTGCGTGGGAGGCTTGGCAAAACACGTTTACCACAATATGTTCTTCAGATTCCTCTGCAAGCGCACCTTTAAAATCTCACTGAAAAACATTAGAGATATTAGAGAGTGTCGGTAACCTTTGGTTTGAAGTTTCGTTCCTTAATATAACTTTTATTGACTAGAAAAATTATCTGGCCTAAAAAAAAAGACATTAAAACCAAAGGGATTGAGGGCAACTTTTTGTGGGTGTTTTGGTTTAATTTTAAGATTTGTTTTTAATCTTTCTCAACCTCTCTCTGTTTTCCCTCCCAGCCGTGTCGTGTTGCCGGTCTCTGTTGAAGAGGTGAGTGATTTTATGTTTTCCTTGACCTCAGTCTGCAGACAGGGTTTCAGCGTCATTATAGGTCATTAAATTATTATTTTTTAGATTAAGGACTTAATTGCCATTAAAAACCATTATATGTGATTATCATGGCATTTAAATGCTTAAAACTATATTCTCAGATGTAGCTGGCTCCGCATATTTGCGCGGAACTGCTTCCGTTTGATTGTAAAGCCGTATGTTTGGAAAATAAGCTTTTTTTTTTTTTATATCCCCCCCCTGCAATTTTTTCCACTAATTGAAATTTCTTTGAATCCACATTAACATGAATTCAACACACTGTAGTAAACAGATAAATGGAGGCAGAAGATGTCTTTCAGTCATCAATGCAAACATTCAGTGACACACAGGAGCTCTTTCAAACTGGGCACCGTTTCATTCACAACACCTGTCCCATCAACCAGGAATCAGAAATACTTTAATAATCCCAGGGAGAAATTACTTTCGCTGCATTGCTCCATATGTAATAGAGTGACTATAGGAGCAGTTTGATGTAACACAATTTCATACAATATATATATAATTAGGGGGTCCCTGCTCCATCTTGCCATCAGTTTGGGGATCCTTGACCTGGAAAATGTTTGAGAGCGTTAAAGGAGCATTAAAAAGCATTAAATTAGAGTTACTCATTCCTATATAAACTGGGTATTGCCAAAGAAGTCACGATTCGATTCGAATCGCGATTCACAAGCCACGATGCGATTCTATCACGATGCATCACGAAACTTGAATTATTGCGATGCATTGCAATATTTTCTCCTCCATGTTTTGTTTTTGAATGATTCGGCGCAGTAGAAATGCTTGTGACACAAGGCAGTGTGCATCAACACATCCGCAGCGACATCTACTGGACTGGAAGTTGTATTACACTTGTTTTTGGCTGATGTTCGCCAACCATTCATGCAATTTTATTTACTCATTTTTTTAAATTAATAATCGATACTTGGTGTCAAGAATCGATGCAGTAGATCATGAAAATTAGAATCACGATGCATCATCATGACGATTATTTTGCACACCCCTAATATAAACCCTGGCAAAGTAGGAACGTTTAGATGCCTGCGTAGGGATGTTTGTTTGTATAGAAAACTCCTCCACTCACGTCTGAGTTAAAAAAATTAGTCTTTGTTTTTTTTTTGTACTCCTTTTTAAGGGAGAAGTTCGGTTTTTTACACTTTAAGCCCATTTTCTGTAGTGTCCAGGATGAAATCGAATGATCGACACCAAAAGTTTGACAATTGCTCCTGTCTCTGCTTTTTGGCTCATTTAGAATCACCCCCTGGCTGCTTTAGAATGGCTTGCATAGAGCATGTCCGATAATGTCCTTAAAACAACCTTAAACGTTCTTTTTTTTAAATATGCTACTCACCGGGTCGTCAGCGCTGTTCAATGACGTTCCAAAAAAAGTTTCGTGAAGAAAAAACGTTCCTGTAGTGTTTTATTTAGCATTTTGTAAATCCCATTGAGTTCTGTAGGAATAGTCAATATTCCGCTGCCACCGGAAACGGAAATGGGGCCTGTTTACACAGTTGTAGTCTTTTCGCTTCACTCTGTGTACTCCGACGTCGAGGTGCTAACGTCTCTGTTAAACACTTTAAAAAAACTCTGAAAATGGAATACGAAAGGTGGATTCTTGATTCTTGACGTCGGAGTACACAGAGTGAAGCGAAAGGACTACAACTGTGTAAACAGGCCCCATTTCCGTTTCCGGTGGCAGCGGAATATTGACTATTCCTACAGAACTCAATGGGATTTACAAAATGCTAAATAAAACACTACAGGAACGTTTTTTCTTCACGAAACTTTTTTTGGAACGTCATTGAACAGCGCTGACGACCCGGTGAGTAGCATATTTTAAAAAAGAACGTTTAAGGTTGTTTTAAGGACATTATCGGACATGCTCTATGCAAGCCATTCTAAAGCAGCCAGGGGGTGATTCTAAATGAGCCAAAAAGCAGAGACAGGAGCAATTGTCAAACTTTTGGTGTCGATCATTCGATTTCATCCTGGACACTACAGAAAATGGGCTTGAAGTGTAAAAAACCGAACTTCTCCTTTAAAGCTGTTTATTTGGGCGTTTTTATTTTTTGGTTTATTACAGTATCAAGTAGGGCAGCTGTACTCTGTGGCTGAGGCTAGCAAGAATGAGACCGGAGGAGGAGAGGGCATCGAAGTGCTGAAAAATGAACCTTATGAGAAGGAAGGCGAGAAGGGACAATATACACACAAAATCTATCATCTAAAGAGGTAAGCATCTGTTTGTTTGTTTCTTTGTTGTAGTTCTCTGTTGTGATTTAAAATTGTGAAATTTATCCTTTGGGGAGGTAATGCTTATTAGAATATCAGATCTTTAGAACTCTTTAGCTGTGTACACATTAAATGTGTTTAGGAAAAGGGTGAAGAGTTGGAGCCAGGAGGAGCATTTTTATAGATCTAAGTGTCTGAGAGCGTTTCAGCCGACTAACCATCAAGGCCATAAAGGGCAGTAAAACAGGTGTTTTCTATCTGCTACTGTGAGTCGGCAAATTCACCAGCTGCTTTATAGGACAAGAGTTCTGCAACAGATCAGTTTGTGTTTTCGATTTTGGCCTCAAAGAAAAACAAAAACTGAATTAATATTGAAATACTTCATAGGCCCTAAAGGAAGAAGCAGAATGAATTTAAGACGTTTCCTAATGACATTGAGTTCACTGAAGCAGGATACTGCCTTCTATTTTTTTTTTTTTTTTTTTTTTTTTTTTTTCAATATTTCAGTTTTTAAAACAAAAAAGTGATGTAGACTGTTTAGCTGTGTACAGCCTTGCTAATAGTTATTAGATAAGGGATCTCTGCCGTCTTAGGTTGTTGTAATATTCATGTTTATGGGATGCAGTTGGTTGTGTTCAGGTTCTGGTCTAAGATCTTTCTCCTCTTGCCCTCATTGGTTCTCTCCAGGATCCAGGCTTCTTCTCTATGTCCAAAAACTTGAATATTAGCTTAATTGGTTTCTCTAACCCATAAAAAAACAAACGATGAAACAGAATCCTTAAAGGTACTTTACTCTATATTTACTTATACATATGAACTAAAGTAACTGTATAGATTTTTTTTTAATACTTAAATACAATTTTAAAAGTATATTTATTTACTTTATATATGTCTACATATTTTATTGTAACATTTCATATTTTTTTTATGTATTGATTGAATGGGGTAACGTATTTTTTTATTTACAATTAAAAAATTTCTATATATAAATAAAGTAAAATGTATAAATTTCATGGTACAATAATTTATTTCATGAGACGTTCATATTCCCTCCACAAACCTCAGGAATCACCATTGTGAAAATAATGTTGGGAGCAACCAGGGGGTCCTGAGCTCCACTTCTAGAATCCCTGCTCTACATTAATCTAGTTTTCACCTTGCTGCTCACCCAGTGACGACTGGAGACGGGCACCAGCACCACTGCGCCCCTGCATTAATGGCTAGCATAGAAAATGAATGAATGGGTGGATTCATGATGACGCTGTGTTGGCAGGGAAAGAAAATCTAACATGAAATCGAGAGCAATGGGAATTATAATAAATAAAGAATTATTGGTAAAATAAATTCAGATTTACTAATTTTAATACAAATTGTTAGTAGTACATCATTATGATTTTCCATTATTAAGCTAACCAGTGCTGTACAGGATGAGCTGTTTAGTTTAGTTTTTTTCCTCCTTCTATCCAAAATGCTCAGTGCACCATTTCAAACATCTAACCGATGAAATGTTCCTAAACGAGAAAGTAACACATATAGCTATGAGCTGCTGATAAATATAAATAGTTACCTGTCCAGTAGATGTGTTATTATGGCAAGAATTTTGCAATGCAATACAGATGCCCCCTAGCAGCTGGGAGGTTAAGGTGTTGATGAGAAATTGATTTAATTTAATTAAGCATTAAAATCATGTAGCAAGGCATACCAAGTAGCTCTGAGTTATTATAAATCCAGCAGGTTTATTTTTTAACATAAATATCCTCCATTTGGTAGCTCCACAGCAACACTCTGAAGCTCAGCAGAGGGTAGTGATGCTGAGGGACATGGAGGCAAATCTGAGGATGATGGCTAATATGACCAAAGTAGCCTTGGTAGAAAACACACAGCGGGAAACACGGCTTGCTGGTACAAATAAACAGTTATTAGGGAATTAATATAAATTAGTTTAAATTAGGGCTGCAGCTAACGATTATTTTGCTAATCGATTAATCTGTTAATTTTTTTTTCTTCCGATTAATAATATAGTTAAAGGTTGTTTAAAGAAGATTTTTTCATGAAATCAAACCAGATGAAACTATAACGTTTCCTCTTGAGGCGTTCTGGATAGAACATATTGACAGATGAAAAAAGTTTTTTTTAAAATCTTAAATGCAAAGTGTTTTACATATTTTTTTTTACTTTTTGGTATAATTGCTGCTTTAAGTGGGTCGCTCTTTCAGCTAAAGCCATTTTTTACAGTCTCTACTTTACAGTTAACGATTTATTGACCGCTGAATTAGTTGACAATTATTCTTAATAATCAATTAATCCGATTAATTGCTTCAGCCCTAGTTAAATACTTGAAATGAAGATGATTTTCTAATAAATCCTCCACCGATGTTACAAGAAATCCTCTACTATTTTCTTAAAGATAAAATTAGCATCTCCACCTCTCCTTCAGTACCAGGTAGGGATGCACGATATTGGGATTTTGGCCGATATCCGATATGCCGATATTTATTTATTTTTTTTAGAACTTTTTATTTAACCATTTTATAAATCTTGCAGAACATAACATTTCCTGACAGAAACTCAAATAGTACACATCACAACAAACACAAAATACCAAAAGTCTTTACAATTATGACAGCAGGCAGAGCAGACAACATCCACAATCTATAATCTGTGGCCAAGCAGTACCCTTTCCTAATGAGGAATTCCATCAGATCCCTCCTTTTAGTAATATCTCGTCCTCTCCATCAGACCCCCAGATATTCTGAAATACAAGTCCACCTTCGTATAAAAGTGTCCATAGTTAGCTGCAGGCTTGCAGTCATTTGCTCCATTATGTAAACATGTTTCAATCTCTGGGCCCATTGATTTATAGTTGGTGGTTTTACATCTCTCCAGTGCACAGTAATCATTTTCTTTGCTATCAATAAAAGAACCCTCAGTATATATCTCTGATCTGTGTTATATTTACTTTTAGGTATGGCTCCCAACAAAAACATCACAGGTTCAGGCATCACCTTTACTTTCAATATTCCCTCTATTTCCTTTCTAATATTGTCCCAAAATCCCTGTATTAAAGGACAATCCCAAAAACTGTGTGTGGTATCTCCAATTTTTCCACAATTTCGCCAACATAGTGCTACACTAGGTTTTTTCACAAATGAGGAGATGATGAAGGGATTATTAAAGTATCTGATCTTCACTTTCCAGTCAAATTCTTTCCATAGTTGGCTGTCGATATGCCGATATTTTAAAACTCATGTAGCCGATAACCGATATCGATACCGATGTTAAAGTTGGACAAAAATAAGTAGTCATTGAAAATAGCAGTTTTATTATCCATTTCTGACACTTTGAAATAGGGCTGGGCGATAATTCAATAACGATATATATCGATCGATAGACGAGTGGCGCAATAGAAAAAAAGAGGGTCGATAAAAGTTCGATAAAAAAGAAATGCTGTTTTCCTTCCTTCTCATTGTAGCCTATCATGTAGGTTTATGCTAGTCACTGCTTCCTCCGAGCCAATCACAATCGCGGACCCAGGCACGCCGTCACCAAGCGCCGCCCTCTCAAACCACAACATAGAGCACATGAAGCTGTGCAGCAAGGAGAGGCGGAGGAAATTGTTTCAAAGAAAGGTTTTTGTAGTTCGGCAGTCTGGCAGTATTTCGGTTATGGCAAGTCGGACCAAAAACAAACCACAGTCATCTGGAAAATGTGTCGGGAACCAGTGAAAACGAAGTCTGAAAACACAACCAACTTTTTTTTTTTTTATCATCTCAGTCGCTCACACCCGCAGGAGTAAGAGCTGTGTAGGCCCCGACGCGGCTCTCCTCCGAGGAATCTTCGGAAAATATATATATATATTTTCAGTTCTGGGCAGTTTCCCACGTAGTTCTAACAATTGAGATAAAAATGCTGAGGGGCCAGAAACTTCAGAGTAATAACTCAGGTTAAAGCAGGAAACGGGGGCGGCGGCGGTGGTGGGGGGGCATATATTTATTTCTTATATTTATTTTGGTCACTTTTCTGGTCACTTTAGTTTATTTTTTGTCAGTATTTAATAACATAACTCAGGTCTCTTAAGTTATTTTTCTTTAAAACAATTCTGTTATGGTTAAAAAAGTTGGTTAAATAAAGATTTAATTCGAAGTCTGTGTTTGTGTTTTTTATTAAAATTAAATCATTTAGCAATATTATAAAAAGTCCAGGCAGAGCTGCACATAAAATATGGTTTCAAATCTTTTCAATAATTATCGATATCGATCAATATGCATTTTTTTTTTTTATCTATAAGCTTTTTTTCTATATCGCCCAGCCCTACTTTGAAAAATAATATACTCAAATATATTTTCATATGCTGATATCAAATTGATTTTTAAAAACGCGGTATCGATCTATTTCACTTTCAAAATCTCGTGAAATTTCATCGTTCTGTTACAAACTCTAGTGATATTTTGCAAATTCTTGTGAGATTTTGTTAGTAAAATAGATCGATACTGCGTCAATATATCAACATATAAAAATATGGCAAAATTTCGTGAATTTTCGGGGGATTTCGTAGCATAACGATGACATATAGCAATATTTCATTAGTAAAAGAGATTGATATGGTGTTTTTAAATGGCAATATATCAGCATATGAAGATATTGGGATATTTTAATGTATCAATATTTTTTCCCTCGTCTTTAGAAGTTTTTAAATCTGTAAAAAAGAAGTTTTTTAGGAAGAAGAAGTAGAAACTCAGAAGCTGATCAAATATCGGGTTAAATATCGGTGGGGTGGTCGATGTCCGATATTCAGTTTTAAGGCCGATACAGGCCGATACCGATAGGGGGCCGATTATATCGTGCATCCCTAGTACCAGGGTTAGCAGATCTGCCTGTTTCCATCCAATCTTAATGGGAATGATTATTGTTTGGTTTGATTTTTGTAGTAGAGCCGAAGACCCTAAGGGTCAGCTTTGGGATTCAACATTTTAACTCATAATACAATGTGTGAAAAAAGGTTTTTCTTTTAACTGACAAAAAAGTAATTTCTAGTTCTTTTTACCCTTTATAGGGCAAGTTACCCTTTTTGATAACTTGCATACCTCTTACAGTGAGATCTAGAAGCACAAGATCTATATCTATCCATTCAGCAAAGATGCTGCTACATGGCTGTACATCTTATTTTGGCATTTGACAAATTGGATGAGCCCTTGAATGATATATTACCTACTGTAAATTAAGTTGAAAGAAAAAGTGAAGAAAAAAAGGTGAAAAACTAATTGAAAAGTTCAAAAGCTAGTTAACAATTATATTTAGATTTATAAACAAAAAAAATTAAGTGCCAGTATCAGCATTAATGCCTCTAAGGTTAGGTTGGACCAAAAAAAAAGTGTTTCTTTCATTCTGAGTGTTTTTCATGAATTTCTTATAGAAGCACTTTCACAAGTTGGCATTTTGTGTTATTACATTGACATTAATTTTTTGAATGTTACAAAGGTAACATTCCAATAACACTATTAGCTTGACATTTAGATTTTCAAAGTATTTCACTGAGGGCCCTATAAAGGGATCAAACAGTGTTTTGATCTAATTTAGTGCAAACTAACAGAGCGTGGAATGTGAGCGACAGCAGTCGGCTCATTAATGTTCTCATGTTCAGGCTTGTTTCTGCCTCCAAATCTTGACTGGTGTGATTATGGTGTTTTATTGCATTCCATAATTGTTCAGTCAGCGCACCATATAAGCAGGGCGGTTTAGCGGCGTAGTAGACATGTACTGCAGCCTGTGGAGGATTTCGCAAACAGAAAACAGAATGAATTCAGCTTCATATCTGCTAATAGAGAAGAAACTCTGGTTGAAATGAATCGCGGCTCTGATCTGTGTTTATGTTGCTTGGTTTAGTGATTAGGCTTTAAGACTGAGGATCACCAAGTGTCTCCTCAACCAAGCTTCTCACACCTAAGGAGCTAGAAAACAGGCTGTGACCAATAGGGAGGCCCAATAATCGATATCGGCGTTGGTATAAGCTGCTGACTCTATAGAGTGAATTTTGTGCCAATATTTTTGCAAGCAAACATCATGGTTTGTACATAGAAATTTGAAAAGAAAAAAAATGCAAGAGAAGAAGGTTCTGGAGAAAAGAAAAAGGTTCGGAGGGTAATTTAGCCTTTTTTGTTAGATTTAATTTATTAACATTTTTCCCAAGTTTATTTTTCACATTTTATTCTTTAAAAAAAATGATATAAATTTTTTTAATGTTTTATTTTTATTATTTTTAAACAGATTTTATATTTTCAATTCTTTTTTTTTAATTGGTCTTTTTCAAATAGAGTTTTACAAATTGCATTCTTCTTAAATTTAATTTAATAGATCATTCTCCTCACTCCTCGGGAAGGAATTTCCCCTGGAGTATGAAGAGAAGATACATTTCTATTGGCCTGCTGGACGTTAGCAACAACATCTTAAAACTAGAAAGTTTGGAAAAAGTAGATAAAATCTGTCAAAAAGAAAATTAGGTAGTTATTTTTTTTATAAGAGCTTTAAAATGAACATTTTAAAAGATTAAAATAAAATAAAAAGATATAACAAAATCTGAGAAAACAGCTAAGTTTTAATAACTTTATTTCTGGATTGCATTTTTGGTTTTCAAAAAAAACATTTTTTGTGTGCAGCAATAATGGAACAAAATTTACTCCTTATCGTTGTAGTTTTTGCATTTGTTCTGTCATGTTATGGTGATGCAGCAAATAATCATGGTTGGTTTTTCATTGTGTCCAAATGGCAGGGAAGTATCGCTAAATATCAATAATCAGCCATATAATAGAAATATTAATGTCGATATCGGTACAAATATTTATATCTGTTCCTCTAAAGCGGTAAATAATCTGCTGTGGTATTCATTCATGTGATTGTTACAGTCTGCTCTCATCTATGTGCTTCATTTTTCCTTTTTATCTCTATTTTCTTTGCTTGTTGTCGACTGCAGTAAAGTCCCTGGCTATGTGAAGATGATTGCACCAGAGGGAGCGTTAGTATTTCATGAAAAAGCTTGGAACGCTTACCCATACTGTCGCACTAGTAAGTTCACTCTGCAGAAACAAATTCACTATTTGATGTGATTCAGCTATTTTCATGTTAGATATTCTCTGCTAATAGCAGAATTTATTGATCTGTATTTATATTTCTTAACTAATTTCTCTCTTGTCTCTTTTTCCTTCCTCGGTGTGCAGTTGTGACGGTGAGTTTACAAACTTTTAGTAAACAGTTTTTAAAATTCTTCAAAACACTGTTTTGTTTTTATATTGTGATATTATCAACATCCTAAAGCCTGATTTATCACTTAAGGAAGATGAAATATAATATCCTATGATACATTGAATCCAAACTTTTTTTTTAATAAAACCTGTAAAATTCAGTTGAATCTAAGTTGTAGTATACATTTACATTTTCTTTAAAAGGCCCCAGGGGCTATGGAGTGAATTTTTTTTTATTTTTGTTTGCAAAGCACATGATTTGTACATAGAAGTTTGAAAAATAAAATCCTTATTTTATTGAATAAAAAAAAAATTGCAACCCAGAAATGAAACTTTATAAAGCAATTTAATAAAAAAAAATTAGAGTAACTTTGCTGTTTTTTCCGATAATAAAATGTATTCATTCTTTTTTTTTTTTTCAAAACAAGATGGACATTTTTTTTCCCATTTTTTTTTTTAAAGTTCAGTCGGATTCTATTAAAATGGCGTTGCTAACATCCTGCAGACCAATAAAAATTCATTGTTGCTCCTCCCTCAAGCCCGCACCAGAAGTGAAGAGAAAGAGATCAGTAAAATGTAACTGGAAAAGATTAAATTGATAAAATTCAATCTGAAATTCATTTATGTATTTATTTATTTTTTAAGAATAACATTTGAAGTTATAATATTTGTAAAACAATGCTTAAAAAGTACAATTTGAAAAAGAATAAACTTGAAAATACATATTATAGATTAAACAAAATTAATAAAAATAGGTTAAAAAAATTAAAAATAATTTATGAAAAAAAAAGAAAATAGCAAAAATATTTAATTACATTTAATGAGTTAAGTTTAATTACTTTTTTCTTTTTTTCTTTTAAATCAATTCACAAAAAGTGTTCATTTTTTGCAATAATATTGGAACAAAATTTACTCCATAAGAGATTTTCATCATCAAACAGCATCACAAAGAGCAAAGGATACAGGCGGGTCAGGGAAACCGTCTTTGGGCATCATTAGGTTATAAAACCAACCGAAGCTCTGATGACCTCATAGCACTGGTCAATCCATCATCTGAAAAACACAAACATATGGTCACATTTGCAGAATTGAGGAGAACTGGCCCTTCTCCTGATAGAGATCAACCAGAGATTTATGGCAACATGAGCCTTTAACTGCTTTAGTTTCATCAAACATCAAATAATTCAAGCATTTCTAATAGAAGGGTTATGGCTGTCATGTATCCAAACCAAGCTGCTGTAGGAGCTGCAGAATTACTAACATAAAAAAAGTTTGTTTTACTGGTAGAAAATGTCACCTGAGTTTAAACAGGATTCTTAAAGGTGAAGTTGAATTAAATGTTGGATACTGTTAATATTTGCTTCTGGAAGTTATCCCTGTACATTCTAACCCCTGACTGCAGATATTTTAGCTCATTGTTATTTAGCTGCTTCCAGCGCTGAGTGTTTTTTCATCAGGCAGCGCTCCAGCTACCTGCAGGCTAATAACTGTCGCTTTACTTTAAAATAGATCCAAGCTAAGTGATGCAACACCACCACTGCAGTTTCAGTCTGATTTGCTAATTGGATTAAAGCGTGGGCTTTAAGTTTGTCCCTCGCGACCCTCCGTTCATGGTGTTTTGCCAAAGCCGTGCTGAGATCAGCTCTGCCGGGTCACTGCTGGGCATGGCCCGTCTGATCATGGCCAGACACAGTACTGACTGAATCTGTTTACTGTCCTGCTTCTTTCAGAATGAGTACATGAAAGACGACTTTATGATAAAGATCGAGACGTGGCACAAACCCGACATGGGGACAATAGAAAATGTAAGTAATCTGTGAGGTAAACTGGAGCAATAAGTTTAGTGCTCAGCACCAGTGTAAACACTTTGACATCATTTTAAGAATCATGCCTTCTGGGTTTATGCTGAACTCTTGGTGTTTTTTTAAAACACGCCCTTGTTATAACAATTTCAAATGTTTAAAAAATTAAAGCAAAATAAGTCGTAAAGAATTAGTTTTACCTCAACAACACACTGGAAGTCATATTTGGCTGAAGTGTGGTGAAGCAGCTGTTCTTTTTGTTTCAGGTCCATGACCTGGATGAGGAGACATGGAGGACTGTGGATGTGGTGCCCATAAATATTGCAAACAAAGAAGAAGTGGCTCCAGGGGTGAGTTGGACTTCTCTTCCAGTCCCTTTGAACTGCTAAGCTGAAACCGTTGTTTAAACTTAATCTATTCGGTACTGATGCCCCGTACCTGAGAGTAGGTACCATCTAAATGTCATCAAAAACACAAGGCTGATTTACCTGAAACGGACAAAGATGATGATGGCTCAGGATGCAGACAACAAGCCTCAAAGTATGGAGAGAATTTTGTTACATTATTGTTGAAAGCAGACGCTTTAAAGTCATAAAATTACGGGAATGAAGTCGTAACGTTGCGGGAATGAAGTCGTAACGTTGCGGGAATGAAGTCGTAACGTTGCGGGAATGAAGTCGTAACGTTGCGGGAATGAAGTCGTAACGTTGCGGGAATGAAGTCGTAACGTTGCGGGAATGAAGTCGTAACGTTGCGAGAATGAAGTCATAACGTTGCGGGAATGAAGTCATCATACAACAACCCGTTTCAGAAAGAAAGCTTCAAGCTCTGACCAGCAGATGACGGCCGACCAGCTCCACCAATCAGCAACCTGAGTCCACTTTGACCTTCTGCCCAATTTGATGCTGCTGCTAAAAGATTTCCTGATTTGTCAAACCAGAGCTAAAGTATAACTTCACATGATGCTCGACGTTCCTCATTTTAGGGAAGAAAGTGCTTCTTGTAAGAGTTGTCATAAAATACAACTTGTTTCTCGTAATTTTAGGACTTTATTCTCTTAATATTATGACTTTATACTCGTAATTTTATTTTATTTTTTTAAATCTCTAGCCTGGCTGTAATACCCTGTTGTAATTTTCAGATTTTTTTAGCCTATTTTATTTTTTTTTATTTTTCAAATTCTATTTTACAAATTCAATTCTTTTCAGATCACATTTTAATAAATTGTCTTCATTCCTCTGGAAATAGAAAATGGATGATGGAGGAGACTCATCAATGACCTCCAACACTAAACTCTCCTCCTCTTGCATGTTTCCGCTTTCCATAGCGTTCCTTGATAGTGTCGTTTCTAAGTCACCAATTTAGTGCTACTTGGTCCCAATGGAATTTCCCATTGGGAACCCACTAGCACTCATAATAGATTGTAAAATAGGTCTGTGGGGTTTTAAGTTAATAAATCATTAAGTTACCATTAAGTTAACACCTCAGACCAACAGACGGGAACATTTTCTTTTTCCAGTCATCTCTGCCAGGTAAAAACTCTTCAGGTTTACTCCCTACCTTGAGTCTCCTAAATGAATTTGGTTATAAACAAAACTGAGACTACAGTCTTGTTGGCATGGTAACGTGTTACATTCTCAACTTAAACCACCAAATCATGGCTCCCTGTGACCCATGAAGTAAGATTAGCTGCATGAAGCAGAGGGAAGTTCTGATATTTGGATGGTTGATGCGTGTACGGGCGTTTTTCTGGTTAGTGATTCATGAACAGAGGTTTCACTAATGAATTAAATCCAAACTGGATTTGATCAAAGCCATTTCATTGCAGATGAGTTCCACTCGGCGCTGCCTACCTTTCTCACGTCGGTTCTTATACAGTAATGACTTAAGTGGATCAGTGTGGTAGCGACAGCTAAACTTAAACGTCCATCTGTTCCAAGTATTCAGCTGCTTTTTACAGATTGAAACAGAATCGTGACCTTAGGAGGCCTGAGAGGAGTGAAAATAAAATTAAGCTTTAGGAGATTTATCTTTTTTGTTGTAGATGTTTGGATTCTCTTTGCTTTGTTTACACAGAAGGATCAATGTTTTAAAGTCACACAGACACAACTTCTTATGTTCATTACCTTTGTCTCCCAAAATACCCGAGTGTTGCTGCGAGAATTTAAACACCTAACTTCCTTTTTTTCTTTTTAATCCCTTTAGGACTACAAGCCAGAAGAAGATCCTGCCCTCTTCCACTCCGCCAAGACGGGCAGAGGCCCGCTAGGTCCTGACTGGAAGGTACCAGACATGAAACCAGAACTTAATCCAGTTAATTTATCACCTCGTGGAAGCTGTTAGTGATCGTCTGCTCCTGTGTTTCCTCAGGATGAGCTGAAACCAGACTGTCCTTACATGTGTGCATATAAACTGGTCACTGTCAAGTTCAGATGGTGGGGCCTGCAGACCAAAGTGGAGAACTTCATCCACAGGGTATGCTCTCCTGCTTTTAAACAGAGATGCTCAATCTATAGAAATATGTCTGCAGCTTTGCTAAACTATTCGTCTCCATTGACATTTTTCACATTTAAATGTTTTGCTGCCCCATTAATACATTTATGTGACAAAATGGAGGATTTTATTTTGTATTTATTTCGATTCCTATTCCGATTCTATTTGAGATGGAAAACATAAAATACCTATGAATTCCACGCTCAAATTAAAAGATACAGTAAAATAGTTTTATTTTATAATGGGTTATTGTACGTTCCACTTTTGGACTCATAAATACACACAAGTCAAAAAAGGTTGGGAAACACTCTCCTAAACATCCTGTATTAGGCTCGTTGTTTTGCTGCAGGCGAAGCTCCCCCCCCGAACCTTGAATCTTTGACAGCATTTAATAATTTTTCCTTCCAGGACTTACTCTATTTGTCTCAGTCTATCTTCCCAGCAATCATGACCAGTTTCTCTGCTGGTTGCCCTCAGCATGATACCACTACCTCCATGTTCACTTTGTTCACGGTGTTGGTTTCCACTGTACAGTCTAATCCCTGTAGAATAATAAAGAAAATGTTTCATTCTGATAATTTTCTGACCAGCAAACCTTTTCCCACATGTTAGCTCTGTAGCTAAACAGTACGGAGGATAGTCTCCTTCCTCATTAGCTTTTAGCATTTAGAACTTATAGTTCTCCTAAGCTATTGGTCCCTGTAGTGCCCTAAATGACTTGGTTACTTCCATTATCCTCCCCTTGCTCAGGGAGTCGGTTTAGGTGAACAGCCATGTTCTGGTAGATTTCAACCTGGGCTCGGTCTGGTTTTCTAGAGCTGCTGTTCTGCAAGTTTTTAGAAGCATTTCTTCTCCAGCAACACCTGAATCACATGTGCTCCACTTTGATTAAACACAACGTGAAAAAAATGAAAGTTGTATGTTCATTTGAGTAAGTTTTTTTTTTTTTTTTTTTTTCCTCATTTGTATGGAGTGAATTTTCTTCCATGATTATTGCAAGCAGCAAAGGATGCATATTGCAAAAACTGAAGTAAAAAAAAAAAAAAATGATATCCCGGAACAAAATTTTTAGGATAATGATTTTTAATAGTAAATATACTTCTTTCTAAGATTATTTTTTAACATTTTTTTTTGTATTTTTCTTTTTTAAATATTTTATTTTTCACAGATTTTATAATTTTTTTTTATGGTTCTCAGATTGAATTTTATGAGTTGCATTCTTTTAAAATTGTATTCACTCTTGACCAATAGAAATGTTGTTACCAATGTTCAGCAGACAAATAGAAATGCGTCTGTGCCCCGGACTCTGAAAACATCTGAAAAACTTTTTTTTTTTTAAACCTCTTTAAAATTAACCTACATAACTGAAATATGAAAATAAAATCAGTGTTTAACATTTAAAAAAAAAAAACGGTCTAAGAAGACAGCAATGTTACTCTTAAAACATTTAGTTTTCGTTAAAACTTTTTATTTTTAAGTTTTATTTCTAGATTGCATTTTTTTTTTATTAGAATTTACCATTTTGTTTCTCATATTTTTATTTACAAAACATACAAATTTCACTCCATAATTATGTTGTATGTGAGTATGTTAAGTCCAGCTGCTTCATAGATCTGTAATCTCCTTAATATTAAACTCTCATCCAAAACCACATGTTTGTCTTTTTTCTTGGCAGCAAGAAAAGCGAATTTTCACCAATTTCCACCGCCAGCTGTTCTGCTGGATCGATAAATGGGTGGGTTTGACCATGGAGGACATCCGGCGGATGGAGGAGGAGACCCAGAAAGAACTGGAGGAGGTAATTCATTCGTTCTGTCCTCTCATGTTCAGACCTGAACTAGAACACGCTGCCCTCTTTCTCTGGGTGATTTATTGCAGCTGAAGTTTCAATCCAGTAATTTTTCAATGTTATGATTACAGCAGGCTGCATGCAATGACGCTTCACTTTAAAATCTTCCTGATTTAACCTGTATTTACTCCTGAATGTCACATCAGATGCGTCAGAAAGGTGATGTGCGAGGCACCACTGCAACAGACGAGTAGAGGCTCTGCGCTGTAGGTCAAACACTAGAGGCAGGCTGAGTAAGTTTCTGCACCACAGGTGGCAGAGCTGCATGGATCCGTTCTCCTCCTCTCGCCGCTGTCCGACGTGTCTGCTTCATGTTTTGGATCACAGCTGTTGTTTCCAGATGTTTGTTCTTTTCATCCTTTTATTTCTTTAGTCCATTCTCACTCTGATTTTCACTCATAAACCCTGTTTTTCTACCATGGATCCCTCAATTAAATTCCTTTAAAGTTGGCTTTAAAAGAGAAATGTTGGTGTGGTTTAAAAGTTTGATCACATTTCAGGATTTTATATATATATATATATATATATATATATATATATATATATATATATATATATATATATATATATATATATATAATTGTTTGCCAAAATATTTATTGATATTTTGGACATGAGAATACATCCATACAATCACAGGCTGCCAACTAAGCCATTTAGAAATACTTCAATGATCCTACATGGCTTAATCCCTTGTTTACTGAATTAACTACATAAAAATGGTATAACAGCTATAGTCTACATAGGATTGGTTGAAAGTTTTATTTAGAAACTTATAATATTCTATGCAATTTCAAGTGTGAAAATTAATTTTAGCATAATTCCTTCTAGTTAATATGGGAAAAAATACATATAGCAACAAAGAATCCAATATAGTTTTATATTTGCTGCAAGCAGAAGATAAAGTTCAGTTTCTAATGACTTAGACAGATTTATTTAACAAAAAGAAATTTAATTTAAAACAGCTCTAGACAATTTTATTTTTTAAAGTGCAGCCTTGATATTGAGGGAACTATAATAGTACTGCTCTGCATAAGGAATTGCTTAACAAATATGATTGGATATTGAGAATTTTGTGTTAAAGACCTGTCTTTAAATGGCTGGTTTGAGTGGTTCATTAACATACAGTTAATAAAGTCATACTGTAAGTGCAGAGATGAAGTCGAGTGAGCTGAGATGTTGTCGCTACATATTGTCGAGGGCATAAAGATAAGGAGTGAAGAAAGAACAGAGGTGGTGGAGCAGTTTGTTAGAGTTTTAATTTAGGTTTAAAGGCTGCATATCAAGCCGTGGTTTTAAAGCAGCTCCCTGCTTGGCATGTTAGTATAAGAACAGTTAATTGCAAAATGTTTCTAATTAAGGAATTGAGATCAAAGATATAAAGTCCCGACTTACCTCTAGATTTTCAGCAACCGTTCATAAAGTTCTCCATATCTTCTTGTTTAGTTTTCCTAATGTTTGTCTCTCTAGTGAAAGGCTAGACGTCATCTGTTTGAACCTCTAGGAGGCACTTGGTTTGTTTTATTTGTCCAATTCAAAGCAATACTTTTCTCTTAACATTATCCTTAGAAATAAAAAGCATCTAATCTGCGCTTGAATGTTGCTTACGTTTGCAGCTTGACAGGTTTTAATGTATCCAGAGCTCAGAAGGCTGACCTCATGCGCTCCGATTGGTCACAAGCAGGTCACTATTTTGCAAACCTCTGCCAACATCCGAGATGTAAACAAGAGTTTTATCTGATTTTCAAAGTGTTTTACATCAAAGGTAAAGACAGGATCATGTCGAGCTGCTGTACAGGAAACTCAAGCTAATGCTAAAATATAACAGGAGCAATCAGGAGCCTCTGATGTGTAAACGGTTTGTTTTTGGGACGTCAGCTTCCAGCTAAGCTGTGATGAGCACCAAATGATCTGCTGATGATTTGGGAAGTGTCCTGACTGCTGTGATGTCATTTTAGTAAAGCAAAATTTAAATAATGATGAAGGGAGCAAGTTTTGATCATTAACCTAATTACTAACCTAGAAAGGAGCGGTACTTGATCTGCATCTCAGCTGTTATTTTACAGATTTAGCAAGTTTAAAATGATTAAAGGGAATTTTAATGCCATGAAAGGGAGACAAACCAAACTTTGGACTTTGACTATTTTTACCTCTGCTTCTGAACATCTCATGGACTCATCTGTTGGTGTCGGATGATTTGCACAGAAATGAATCAGGGTTTTAATGGTCACTCTTTAACCTGATCCTGATGCTCTGGTGCTTTCAGATGCACTTATAGGAATCAGGTTCTGCCGTGAAGCTTTAAAGATCCCATCAGAGATCCATAAAGGAAGAAGAGGGTCCTGTTATGTTTTAATGTTTCACTCTCTGCTCTTTGTTCACTTGTCTCTGCCATTTTCACTCACATGCTAATCTTTTCTTCCAGCTCGTGCTGCTTTGTTTCCATTTCTTTTTGTTTGTTTTCTCCCTGCCTAATGTTTCTTTAGTTGGTAAATTGGGGCGTGGGCCGCTGGATTCTCCTAGAATATAAATAAAAATCACCAAAGTCAACAAACATCAATTAAATTAGAAGAACAGAATATTCCTGCATGTATGAAATTAAATTACTTTTATTTAAGATAAAAACATCTTCCAAAGCAGTGACCTAGAAAAAAACCTCCCTCTGACTTTAGCAGTAATTTTCCAGCAGGTCACCAGTCTGAACAGGTGTGCGGCTATTAGCTTAACAGCTGTAATACGAGGAGTCCTGCTTTTCTACCCCTGTAGCTCAACTGGTTGCATACAAAGGCTCTGAGTGAATTATTGCCCCCTACTGGCTTATAATTTATTCCTTTAAAATACAATTGTTTCTCCGTTAGTTAGTAAGCAAAGCTCGTTTTTGAGTTGCCTAATAAGACAATGTGAGCAGGGCTACCTAACCCAAAACAGGTCAGCCAATCACAGTGCAGTATTACCAATTAAAGCAAGCCTACCAATCCCACAGCGGAACCAAAATAAACATGGCGGTGCAGGGGGACGTATGCATTGTTAAATGTTTTTTTTCCGATAACAGATTTTATGGGAACAGTCTTTCAGGTGGGGAACTAAAGCTCGGCTCCACACCTGATCAAAATGTGTGTGCGTAAGTGCGTCTGCTCTTGAATTGAGGAGGTAAAAGAGACATTTTGCCAATGGAACAAGACAATTTACACTTAAAATAGGAAAAACACAATTGCATTGTCTTTTTTTAAGTGCATTTTTATCTAATAATCTTATTTTAAGAGTAAAAATACTCATTCCATTGGCAAACTATCTCATTTATGACCTCAAATTAAGGGTAAATACACTTAATTTATGAATTTTTTTACTTATTCCTAGATCGTTTTTCTAGTGAGGTTAGCTAGTAGCGCCCAGGGAAAAAATATTTTCAGCCTCAAAAAAGACTAAGTAAACAGTATCAGGGAACGCTTTGTGTACACCGATTTATCTAAATATTATAAAAGGTTGTTTCTTGCTCTTTAATTGTCCTAGAAGCTAAATGAAAATACTTTAATCTTTGTAATCAATCAACTGACACATTAAAGGTAAAACCGCTTATATCACAGGATTTATTCCTGATGTAAATAAACAGAAATGCCTTAAAATTCACCCTGTTATGTTAAACATTTAGATGACTTGATTTAATGTAAGAATTGTTGACAAAAAAGGATGTAAGATTTAGTGGAATCAAATAAACAAAAAATGGTAACTGTTGACCTTTTGTGACAAATATTAAATATCAAGTTTAACTCTAATAAATTTATAGAAGGCCTCCTTAGGTCAGCTTACTGGCAAGGGGCAGCAACAGGCTGGGGAGGGGCAATGTTGTAGCAATAGAAAACTATGGTTTTGAACTCTTATTTAAAGGCCTTGATGTGTTGGATGGAAACTAACCTGAGCTAACCTTCATCTGTTTCCTGCGCATCTCTCTGTGCTCACAGATGTAACATGAATCAAGCATCCTCTCTCTCTCCGTTCTCCTGACTCTCAGTTTTTCTCCTCCTCCAGCTGCGTCAAAAAGGTCCGATTCGAGGCACCAGTGCTGCTCATGAGCAGTGAGGCAAATCAACCAAACCCTGTCATGATGATGTCATCAGAGACGCGCCCAACCCCACCGAGAAAGCGGCCCCGACTTCGCCTCTTCCTGTCTCACATGATTCATTGGGGGGGTTTGATAAGATTGGTTAACAGTACTGTACAGATCCCAGCCCTGTCACAAGCCTCCTGTTCACTCAGTTAACACACAAAAAAAGATTAAAAAAAAACAAAAAAAATACATGTTTTTGCATACATATTAAAAAAAAAAGAAAAAAAATGCACAGAATATAAATTGCCTGAAATGTAATTGTTAGTTGATTCTAATGGGCTTTGTTTTTATCCAGGACTCCAAGCCTTTTCAATTAGAACGTTGTTTTTAGCTAACACAGGCCCCCGCCAGAACCCGCTCCCTTTAAGCAGAAGTCTGACATTTATCCTCTCTTGTATTATAAAACTGTCTCTATTTGATTCCCCACGCCGCAGTCCGAATGTTTCGTCCTCGTTTTTCCCTCCTCTGCTTCATCCCGCTCTCCCCTCTGTCTGCCGGTACTTTTCTTAGGTGATTTCTGTGTCTTGTAAAGAAAACCGTTATTTTCTCCGTTCGCCCATATTCAGCCCCGCCCTCATGTTTGGTCGTGGAGCGTCTGTGCTCCTCCCCATCACTGCATGTAGTAGCTGCAGTGCAGCTCCATTAGGATCTACTGTTCAGAGTGTAAGGGAGAGACGCTTCCCGTCAGCGTGTGCGTTCCTGCGCTTCTTTCCAACTGCCTTCGCTCTCTGAGGACGGTCGTTGATTTTTCTTTTTTTGGGGGGGTCTGAGCCGGAGAGCTGCAGATCCAGGTTAAACCAGCCTTCTGAATTTTGCCTCACGCTGTCGCTGCTTGGCCTTCCTCCTCGGCTAGGGCTTTAACTGGACGGCTCGCGCGGCCTCCAGAGCAAAACTAAAGTGTGAGTGTGCATTGCTGTGTGCATGAATCAGGTTAGGGGGGTTTTATATCTTCATTATGTATCCTAATCAGAAATCTGTCAACTGTAAGAAATGGGTCCAGGCAAATCCGCCGTGTTTGTTAGGGATTGTTTGGGGGTATTTTTTTTGGTCCATATCCAATTATTTTTCCAAGCTTGTTTAAAAAATATTAAAACCTTTTTTTTATTGTTTTTTTTTTCTGGCTTAGGATGAGAATAGCTTCAATTAACAAACTTTTGCGCATTTTTTTTCTTCAACAGATCCTTCTTACAACTTTGGCTACATCACATGAGATTTCCCCATCAGAGTTTTTTTATTTTTATCATGAGCTTAAGGTTAAAGATGGCGTCATGGCTTTACGACTTGCGATCCTGGTTCGAGGTGTTAGACTTTTTAAGGTTTTATGGTCGTTGGTGTAGAAACAGTTTAATGGAAGCTATACTGTAACTGTACTCTTTATTAAATCCCATAATAAAGTGGACAAAGTGTAGATATAAACTTCACTGGGCTTTTAACGTCGTCAGGGTTTCTCGTTTAATATTGTGCCGCGGTTTATTTCTTGACGGCAGGTGGTATCCGCCCTGTAGGCAGAGTGCAAAGCGGCGCCAGCTGTACCTCATCCATGCTTATGAATGTGTTGCTGCAGACGATAGAGAGCGGCGGCGTGTTTTACACAGATCTGATATCGCCGGCTCATGAGGACAAGCGGTTGGACAAAGCCTAGATTTGCATGCTCGGTTTTATTTTTTTAAACTTTCTTTTTTTTTTGCTCTTATACTGTTTTGTTGTTTCTTTAGCAGCACCTTTATGAGTCTCGAACTGCGTCAGACGAGGTGGCCGGTTAAAGGGCGGCCTTCCCCTCACTATCAGACTCTCCTGAGCTCGACCTCTGACCCCGAGACGAGGAGTGAAAGGCCTCAGAGCCTGATGGTGACGGGAGTCGCCCTGTACGGTGATACCAGCCGGTGGATACTGTAAGGAGGGAAGAGCTTGAAGCATAGGAAAAGAGATGGAGTCCAAAATACTGTTTGTTTTTTTCTTATTTTAATCCTGAATAAGCACTTGCAAAATCTTAAGGGTTTTTTTCTAAATGTTTTTGTTTATTTTTTTGGACAAAGATTCATAATGTATTGGAGTTTTCTCTTTCTGATAAGGCAAACATTCAGGGGAATTGGTAGTGAATGTAAAACAATTAGTACCTTTTTTTCTTTGTTTCACAGCTTTCAGGCTGTGAAGGAAGATAGACAATGGAGCATAACAGAATATCTAATAAATTTGAACAAATAAAGTGGGCAGTGTTTGACTTCTTTGTCTCCTTTACCTTATTTATATCATAATCGGAAGGCTTTGTCCTTTTCTGTCACTTATAAACCAGCTTTAAAATAAGCTAGCCAGTGTTGTGTTCAAGGCAAAAGGAAAAAGATTTACATTTCCATGACTGTACCTCTCAGAGAGTTTAATGGATTTAAATCCAACCTTGTAGAAAGTAAAAGATGTTTCTACATTGTCCTCATTGATATTTTTTATTATTATAGGTAATTCTATCAGAAGAGATGAGAAAAGAACTATTAAAAAAAATGTATAATTTGGACTGATAATTTATGCATTATTTATAGAACTGCATAAACAAAGGGATTAAACCTTTTTTTTTTTTGTATTAACTGATGTGTATTTAGGCTTAGATTTGATAATCCGGAATACAATCTACTACTGCAAACTGAAATCTAAAGAGCAATTTTTTCCAAAATCCAGCTGAATAAAAGTAATTTAAAGCCACAAATATTCTACACCCTTTACTGAAAACATATTTTTGTTTAATATCTAATATAGTAAAAATGTTTAATAAAAATTAGGCATAGATTTTCTTCCATAGGATACTTGAGTAAAAAAATCAAAACATCTTTCAACCAAATGACAAAAGCTGATCTAAAGACACATTTCAGGTTCTTTTAATATCAGTCAGATGTAAAAATTCAATCAAATATTCTTTTTCGATTGATGTTTATTATTATACTACATTAGTTGTCTCTTTATATCATTGTAGGCTACTATTAAAAGCCATTGCAGTGGTTATAAAGATCTGAGCCACAGGTTGCAGACGCCTGATCTAGTCCAGCCAATCAAGTCTGCACCAAGGTAACATTTGAGTAGTAAGACGGCTTAAAGAACTGTACATACATGCATGCAGTGCAGTTAATTCTATCATTAAAACACATTAAAAGAGGGATGCAATAATGAAAAAGTTGCACCACCTGAATAAGTTGCAAAAAAGTGATGTTATGTGATAATAAACATGGTATTCATATACCAGGAAGAAATAATTAAAATCTGTTTTATTTTAAAAGTTATTTTTATTCACTGATGTGTATTTAAAAATACTTTTGAATCAACAATGATTCAGAGCCACAAGTGGCTCTTTGGGCCCTCTACAATGGCTAAAAATAATAAAGAACCTTTAATAGTTTTAAATTTAATATATGTGCCAGTTTAAGAAACGTCATCTGATTTTTTTGAGGATAATTACATTTCCAAAATAGAATGACAATAGAACCAATTAGATCTATGTATGTATTTATATTGTCATTAGCTTGGACCTTAGGTTTTTTTTTTTTTACAATTTTCTGCAAATATCAGTAATCTAACCTATTTTTTTTCCCCTGTCCTAATAATGGAACAAGAAAACCAGTTTGTTTTAAATGAAAAAGATTTCCTATTGCAGGTACCAAAAATAATAATTTGTGTTTTATTTAAAGGTCATGTAATGTTTGCAGCTCTACAACAAAGGTTGTAAAAGGGTATATATATTTTTATAGTTATATCATCATCTGGCTGGATTTATTGGCGGTTGGCAACAACCATTTTGTAGCATGACCTCCACTTACTGGTATGGAGTGTGGTTCGCGAGGACTAATAAACAATTATACAAATTCTAAGGAAAAAAACAACTATATATATATATATATATATACACACACACACACAAATTTACATAATTAAACATAACTTTGTATTCTACCCATACCTCTCTATAATCAAATTCTATGAAATAATGTAGTTTTCTTTAGAAATGGAATTATTATTTGTATATGTTTACTCCCCAAATTCTTCTTCAAAATATCTAATAAATTAATCTTTTCCTTAATACATTCAAACTCTCTCCTCCTTTCATATTTATGACATTCCAGTACAACATGTTCTATTGTTTCATATTTTAAACAGTAATCACATTTGCCAGTAGTTTGCTTTTGAATTTTGAAAAGTGTATAATTAAGTCCTGTATACCCAAATCTTAACCTTGTAATCACCCTCTCCTCCTTTCTATTTCATCCTCCATTTCTCCTTCTGAATTTTATAAAACCATCTTCCTGTTTTTTCTTCATCCCACCTTTTTGGCCATTTTTCCATCAGTTTTTCTTTAATAATACTCTTTCCCTGCAATTTACTTGTTTTAACTGTAAAACTAATAGTTTTTTATAGTAAATACTTTGCCATTTCATCTGCCTGCTTGTTTCCTTCCTCTCCAATATGTGCTGGAACTCAAATACAACAATCAAACCCATATATTTTATTCTGAATAATATATGCAACATTTCTAATAGAATGTCCATCCTACTATCTTATTGATTGTACTTTAAACTTAATAATGCAGAATTTGAATATATCATATTATATGATATAACTTATATATTTTTATCAAAATGTGCCTCCTTAATATGTTTTTTCCTATTCTTGGGCAAATAAATTTTTACTTAGTTTTAATTAGGGTGTGGTTAAAGCCTAATACAATCCTAGTAATATATTATAAACCTAGAATTTGATTTGGTGTCGAGAGAAGAAAGTTTTACTTTTCCACTTCCTCTTATTTTAAAATAATGTGTTTCATATGTTAATTTATTGACAATACGTCTTTCCATACTTGATACGATTGTGATTTCAGCAGAAACAAAAAAAAAATCCTTTAATTCCTTCGCGAGCCGCCGCGCAGTGCGCATGCGCGGACATTTACGCAGCAGGTAAACTCCACCATGGCGGCGAGAGGCCATGTGCAAGATCCCAACGACAGGAGACTCAGACCTATTTATGGTAAGAAATCAATGAGAAGATCCATCTTTATGTGAGATAAAAGGTTCGATGCACACAGCTGGGTTTTGTAGCGGAGTATATGCGTTTAATAAAGGCTGTTGTAGTTTGGAGCGCAGTGACGCGGCCCCTAGAGTTCCAGCCGCGGGCTGTACTGCATGCAGCGTCCGATGACAGTGCACCTTCAACGGGCTGACGCTCTGTCAGGAAAGGACACCGCGGCTACGGCGGAGGTCTGCGCCAAATATTACAATATTTGTTTAAAACTACTCGCATTACCATTTGAGTGGAAGCTTTTTATCCACCTTGGTTTATCTCCTGTGGAGTAGCTCCCCCTCAAAGTCGAAAAGGTTTCTCATTTTGCTAACGGTCGGTGTTTGACAGCTAGCGCGTGCGGCTAATGTGTCAAGCTAATTAGCCTGTCACTCAGTAGAGACCTTCCTGATAAATGTAAGAGAAAGTTACACAGTTTTGGAGATATTAATCCTTCCCTTTTGATAAGAGTATCCCACATAACTCTGTAGCCCATGTTTAAATTGGATTGTTGCACAGCTAGCCTTTAGTTAGCATTAGCATCACAACAGTAAAGGACAATGCTCTGTAGCTGCCTGGTGAGTGTGATGCTGTCAGAGCTCCGATCTATGAGACGTTTATTACAGATGGATAGTGTGTTTTGTACGAAAATCTCAGAGAAACTTTACATGCTTTATTGTTTATTTTTGTAACCATTAAAAATTAGAAGATAAGAAAAACAGCATACTTGAAGGATTTCGGTTAGCATCCTTAAAGTTTTTAGGGAGCCTTTTCTGTAAAGAAATGCGATTTATTTCGGTTATAGTTTATAATCATTTTATGGGCATTTCTTGCTTTTTTGTTGTAATTTAATCACGAAATAATCCATCACCCCTTAAAGAATTAGGCTAAATTAACAGTTTGCAAAGACCAGGGTAAAATGAAATGATCATGTTTGGTATCATTGATTTTTACCTTCCATAGGAAGATAAGTTAATATAAACCAAGCAGGTTAATGTGTTTCTTTGAGAAGATTTCTTTAAAAGTCACCTTTATGTTCACAGCAGATCTGAGCTGAATCCTGTGCAGTGATGCAGATTCAGCTCAGCAGGGATGGACCTGCAGTACAGCTCTAACCTTCATCATTATTGCTGTTCAACAACAGAGAGAAGAAGGAAAATGATTCCATCATTCTGGTCAAAAAAAGAAGTCGGATATCAAACTAGAGATTTTTTGATCAGAGGTTTCTTTATTCTCAATATGACCATTAGATTTCTATTTTGGGGAATCCTGTCATCCTGCCTGGCTGTGTTTCCTGGACGGGGCCGCCTTTTACAGCTGCTTTTTGTTTCTCTGCTTCTGTCTCCTTGAACCCCAGTCGGCCTCGGCAGATGGCCGCTCACACTGAGCCTGGTTCTGCTGGAGGTTTCTTCCTGTTAAAAGGGAGTTTTTCCTCTCCACTGTCGCTACAAGCATGTTTAAGGGCAGATTATAGCTCTGCAACCGCACACATCAAATGTGGCTTGGGTCTGGTCACGAACCAGTTTTGCTGTTATGGTTCTGCACCGTCAGTCGGAAATTTCTAGGGGCACAGCAGTTTCCCGCCAAAGCACAAGGCGGAGCCTATTCAAGAACTTCACTTATTTATCTTGGTCTCTTCCATCTTTGTAATCACTCCTTTGCATCCCACCCAACGATCTGGCTGATCTCCCACCAGGAGATGGCAGAGACCTTGGCATCTTTATATAATTTGTCTGCGGCATCATACAAGTGGTTGTACTTCCGAACCTCCTCGATTAACATTTCGTCATAGTTGTCCTTTGTAGTTCCTCAGTTTTTAAAAAAATGCCACGCCCCGGTTACCGAATCGAGAAGGACGACCACACAGACAGCTGGAAAGGCATACCAAGGACCAATCACAGCTGCTTTTTGTCTGCGCACCTCCGCATGAGGCCTGCGCGGGTTTGCGACCGCCTGACACGTAGTCAGGATTTTTTTGAGGTGTGTGACGACAGAGACAGATTTGACAGCTGCAGACGCTATGCGTCAGAAGCATAAATTGGCCTTTAGTGTGAGGGATTGCTGAAGAGCAATGAGTCGATGCAATAAACTGTTTTTTCCTTAGATGGAAAACTGAATTAATTTGACTGTATCATTTGGCGAACTGTAAAGTGCCTTGAGATGACGT